TTGAATTTAAGAGTTCTGAATGGATTTTTCCCTTTTAAAAAATGCAAATTATTTATTGACTTTAAAATAAAAAATATCTTAAAACAATAAAAATTCAAAATATTCTAAAAATATATATAGCTTCAAATTGATCACTAGTTTTAGGGATTTTTTTAAAAGTTCATTAAACTAGTTAGTGAACTTGAATAAACCAGAAAAAGGAGAAATTAGGAAAATCTAACAATTTATTAGGGACTTCACTTAAAATTAGTTGGAAAAATTTAGAAATGTGAGCAGCTTCTGTTGGAAAATAAATAATTATGAAAAAAATTGCTCAATAAATAACAATAGAAGTGCTGAACTCAATTATATTATAATCCTAATTTTAATTGCATCTTTTTTTCAACATTTGGAAAAGAATCTAATGACTGGTATATTAATAATATTCTTTCATTAAAAAAGCAATGCCGATTAATATGACGAAAAAAAATCATTTTACACTATGGGTGTAATTTTATTTGGAAGCATGGAAGAAACAAATCAACTAATATTTCAACTGAGTTTATTCAGTTATTCTTAATATGTAGGCTTTATGAACACACAAATGACTAAGAGATAATTTTTTTGATTTTTATTAAAAGTTAACAAAAGGTACTTGTTTTTACAAAATTCAGAAAAATTATTAAAAATAATTTATAAAGAGTTTTCGAAATCAAACTTTAATATTGTAATAAAGTGAAACAATAAAATGTTTTACAAAAAGGAACATGACAGTGTAATTATAATAAAAAACAAGTAATTTTATCTCATTTCATAATGATACTAAAATTTAGACTTTCATTCTAGTAAATTTATAATTACCTTTCTCCTTCCGACTTTCAAGGGATTCTTCGAGGACGATCTCGCTTTGTACCTCCTCACTTTCTGCTGTCCTTAAAATAAAACATNATACATTAAAATGAATTTTTATAAGGAAATAATCCTATTATGGTTTAAAAAATAGGTGCTTAAAATTGTTCACATGTTTCTTTTTTTTAATTTTTTTAATTTCTTTAGTAGGTAAGTTTTCCACAATGAAATATTTAAAATTCTGCAATTAAGATATAAATGCTAAAATCAAATTGTCAGTTCAAAGAAACTTTTTTCATTATTAATGATTGCGAATGAATTTTGGTAATAAACAGACAACAATTATCAATAATGAATTTTTAATAATAACTAGTTAATATGATAAATTTCAGAAATTGCTCGCTTTAGCCAACTTATTTATCATTTCAGGTTTAGTTTGTACAGGAGTTTTTCATAATTAAAATATATGTGTTATTAAAAAAGCTTAATCATAAATATATGTCGAGATGCAGCTTGTAGAATATTAAGATAAAGAATACAAACCTGGCATGTTTTTATTTGGACAAGCAGTTCTTTCTTGATGCCAGAAATTGGCATGAGGATTCCGACTAGGGTTGGTAGTACATCCTAGTTTGTATTCACACAATAAAGATCCATAACAGCCAGATATTCTCCGTAAATTTTTCTGGAAAAACAGAACATATATTAACTTTGTAAATGAGTGGCTGTTTATTAACACAAAAAATTCACAAAGTAAAACATCAAAAGCTGAAATAAAAATTTAGCATGACATGTGACATTCATAATAGGAGCAGTTATAGCTTCATAATGTTAAAATATTTAACATTTTATCACGTTTATGTTCATTATAAATATACCTAATAATATAAAATTTTGATACTTTATGATAAAAAATTACTCAAATGTGGAGAAAAAAATTCCTTGTGTTTTTGCTATGCAGATTGTACACAATATATTAGGAGAAAACACAACAGCTACTGTTCTCTTGAGTCAGCTATATTGAGCTATATTGTCAGCTATATTGAGATCTATGAGAGAATCATCATGGATAGGAAAAACTCCGGTAGATTTTACGAAACATAAATTTCATGATAATTGTTGCATAATGAACTAAATACACATAGGGAGTTTTAGGAATTTTTATAGTCATCAGAATAGAAAAACTGAAATATTTTCCACTTATGATTGACATTAAACATACTTGAAATTTCATGTATTAAGTTTACTCCTAATTTTGAATATTAATATGCATATAATATATCAAAGATAGTCAAAAGATTTTTTTTTTAATTTAAAAAGAGTTCTAAATAAAAATATACAGAAAATTTTAGAAAAAAAAAAGTTTTGAACTGATTTCTATAAATGAGGTTCACTTCATTATGTATTAGCAATACTTATTTTAATATTTAAACAATCAAGCAATAATCTGTTCAAAAATTCTATTTCAGTGGGGATTTTTTTAGAAAATTTACTCAATTTTAGGGAATTTTCTAAAATGTCCAAAAACCAGGATTTTAACAATTTTATTTAAACCAGTAGACCAGGAGAAACAGCCAAAATCCAGTATCTACTGAAATTCCAGTAGAGTTTGCAGTTATGATTATATTAGCCCTGCATAAGCACTCATCAAGAGCGATTGGTTTCTTTTCAGGATTTTTAACCCTTTAACTATAAACCTCAACTCAACTCATAACAATATCGGACTTCGTCCCTGAACAATTTGGTTTATTCCAACACATGTGGATAAGCACTATTCTGTCATGGAGATGTTTCAACATTCCTTCATTATAAATCTACAATTCAAAGTTATCTTACTGCAATGCATGGTTAGATAGAAGATTTATCTATCAATCTATACAAACTAGTCACTAAAAGATATAACTAGTTCGTACGCATTTACTGTGGTACAACACACTTACATACAACTATTTGAATTTTTGTTAACAAAAAAAAGTTAATAAAGTGAGTTTAAATGAAAAATTACAATACAGAAAGTGTGTAACTTTCACAATTATTATGAAATATGATAATTTGTGGCGATAACACAAACCAAAGCTTGAAACTGAAAATCAATCATCTAAAACATCATACCATTCCATCTTGTTGAACTGGGGGGCATAATATTATATATGATGTTCCAAATCAAATTTGGTTTCATACATAGTTTAATAAAACTATAATCTATCACAAAAATTAAATTTCAATAGAATTTCAATTCAATCTATAAGCATAATGCATACCTGCCAACTTTTACGCATTTGGCGTAAAATTTTATTTCTATATTTAAAGTGGTAGTAAAATGTATGCTTTCTATATATTCCTTGCATTTATAAACTTAATTTATAATATTTTTGATCCACCACTATTTTTAAATAAATTAAGCATATATATAAATATGCAATAGTGTTGAAAATTTCTTAAGCTTGTTCAAAATACAGCTTATTTTTCTGCCTATAATTGCAATTTACATTCCATTCGAATACCACTGGCGAAAATCATCCTTGAAAGGATTAAAAGTTGGCAGGTATGATAATGTCTTAAAATTCTAATAAGTTTAACTGAAACTCAACTTCTACGGAACTAACACGATTAAACTTTATAAAAAATAACATAGCAACAGAACGAACATAAAAAATGCAGAGTTGGAATCAAGACAAAAAATTTAAATTAATTTTGTACCTTCATGGCTTCTGCAGCATTATTTCCATCCTTCAGACTTTCAAGGGATTCTTCGAGGACGATCTCGCTTTGTACCTCCTCACTTTCTGCTGTCCTTAAAATAAAACATTGTTTAGCTATAAGTAATTGCATTAAAAAAAAACTTTAAACAATATATAAATAACTATACCAGAAATTTTAGGCAGTAAAATTTGATAATATATTATTTCATCGATTTTATTAATTAATTTCATAAATCATCTATTTTTTTACCACATTTATTTTACCCATTAAATATCCCCACATAGAAACAACGAACATTTTTTTAATGATTTGAGGTTTAAAATATGTCTATGCATACTTAATATTTTCTAAAAAAAATAAAGATTTAATAAGTACCAAATTAAAAGTTAAAAAAAAAAAAATTTTTGACTCCTTCTTTTAAAAAAAAAATTGCATACACGAATTACAAT